GCACTTGCGTGTGGAATATGCAATGGTGATATGTTTGGTGGTGTATGCGTAGCCTCACGGATGCACTTGACACATATGAACTAGCCACAATGTAAGCCTCAAACTGCATTGTTCAATCATGTTCTTGCTCTATCACCGTGTTATGTCTCACTGATTATCGAAAACAACAAAAATTGAATATGGCCAATGCCAATCAATGTCATGTATCCCCAATCCCAATATGATGTCTCCCATTTGCCCGTTCGAAGCCACATTCACATGGCAAAGGGGATTTTTTTCAAGCGGCATGGTTAATCCCGAGTACCTATGTAAAAACGGACCCTAATTTAAAAAAGGTCATGTCGGATCCCCCTAAATACGGTGTGAATTCGTTTTTAAATTACCGCCCTTTCAAGCCGATTCAAGCCGCTACTAAACTACCAACATTGCCGATTTTGGAGAGGTTTTTCTTAGTAGGTTCCAAAAACAACCGTAACTGCGCACCTCTGTCCGTCCTGTCTATCCACCATGACACGCCGACTTACACCAGCAGGCTTTCCTTCCCCCAATGCACGGACTCACGCAAACGCACTTGCCACCGAGGTCATGCAACACCGCATGGCACAGCGACATCACCTTTCGAAAGCTTTAGCTGTTAGTCTACTGAAGAATCACTATTCTAATTTTAATGAAGGTTTTTGTAGGTGAAAAGGTTTTTTGCATGTTTGATACGAGTTTAAGAAATGTGTTTTTTTAATAAAATGTTCATGGATTGCCTTTTTGTTTTGAAACTCTTTCCAGGTGACCCTATTTTGGACCCCCGATTTCAGGGACCCCCTATTGGAAAAAATGCGACCGAGGTTTCCTTATTAGGGGGGGGGCCTCGTGTCTTTTAATAGTGGAAGGGATTAATGCCAGCCACAATAAAATAGCAATCGAGATTCATCAGGGTGTCTTTAGGAAAGTTCAGCTGATGCTAATCATATCCATTCATGCATCTGTGACCCTCTGAGATCTTGGTAGATGGGTCACCCCGTGGTATCCAACCGCCATTCCATGCGTGCCATGTAGCAATTGATGGTGGCCTGCAATATGTAAAAAACATGGTAGAACACAAGGCGCTCCATCTCCATTCCCGTGGTATACCATCGACGTTTTGGACCCGGTCGGTCTGGGGGCTTTCCGGTGATCAGTGATTGATCCAACTCGATCGATCGATCCAATTCATCAGGGCAAGTGATACCGTCTAGAAAACTCGTTCGGTGGCACGCTAGACTTGCTAGACTGAATCCAGGTTCGTTGGATCGTTCTGGTGCTCCTTTCCTTCTCTTCTAGCTTAGACAGAAAGCTGCCGTGCTCAAGAAGCCCTACCAGTGAAAGTGGTCCAAGTGGTACCTAAATCGGTAGAAGTTATGGCAATGGCAGCGGCATGCCAATTTCCAAAGGTAAGAGTCGAATAGGGAAGCGCATGGAAGCGCCAAACATGGACGACTTTCCCCTCGACTTCCCGTGCTTTCTTCATCTTTCGTCATCTCCACCCCACGTTGAAACCGCATCGGTCCTCTTGAGGTTGAAGCGAACAGCTCTCACCCCCGCAGCATGCAAACGTCTGAGCTCCTCATCCTCAGGTCATCTGAGCATCTTGAGGTCTCCAAGAGAGTTCCCAGCTCGGAACGGCCCCCCCTTTGTTTCCAAAGGGAAAACCTGGACTCGACTTCGAGTACATTGAAACATGGGACAAGACCCTGCAAACAAACAGGCACTTGTACAATTTTGTACCCATTTTCAGGCTCCAGTTGTGGATAGCTACCGACCCTCAGTCGCTCCCTGGAAGGGCTGCTCTGGCGGCTCTGGCTGATGCCAAAGAGGTTCAGCTCCTTCTGTCTCAATGAGTGCATCTTAAAATCGTGGATGAGAATCCTCTCGGACGAAAGACGTAGGCCAAGTTGGTTTCCTTCCATTCTCAGCACCACATCTCGGCTCGGATTCATAACACCTTTGGATGGCCTCTTTGGACTCAACATCCTCTTCGATGCGCTGTGTTTGTCTCAAAAGTCTACCAACCTCCCGGAGGGGCGAACCGATCGAGATCCCCTTCGCCGGGCTCAGTCTAAGGGGCCTTTTCCATGCCTTTTCCTTTAGACCCTAAAACCGGGGGAGTCGGTGGAACATCAGCATCCCCTTACGTCTCACCAGGTCGCGCTCACAGAGGGAGGCAGCTGTACCACACCCACAAAGCGTGGACCCAGGCGTTGCAAGGCAGGGACCAGGTAGCTGGTGTCAAAGCCTCCATAGGCTGAGGTGAAAAGATGCTGAGCACTGGAGAACATCTGGGTCGCCCACACGATGCCAAGCTCGCTATGCCAAATACTTGGAGCAACTCCCACAAATGGCCTTCGGCCGCTAAGGCAAATCTTTTAGAACATTTTAGAACCTCGCGTTTAGAAGGGTAGACTACATTCATTCCACGCAAACCAAATATCTGCCAAACCGACCTGAACACCGAACCCTTCAGGTTTCGACCGCAGGTTTAGCCCAGTTCGTCAAAGGAAAGACACCCAAGTATGTCCTTAACTCAAAAGGACAATTACATGATGGTCCGTCACTAACCCTGAAAACAAATGTGTGTGTGCACCTATTTTGTTTGTGTTTTCATCTGTGCTATCAAATGACCCTGTGGAAAAAGTTACCTAAGTACCTCCCATGCAAGAAGAACCATGGTGAAGGTGTCTGGTACGTGGTTTACGTGGTCACAGCTACAAGTCTTCGTGACTCTTTCCTGGTGACTGGGCTCTCTGCGTCACTACTTCCTTCCAGTTGTGCATGCTCTTAGGTTGGAGGCCATTGCTATTAGATGCTATTAGATGGTTGGCCATCTCCTTTGATCGCTCCACGGAACGACACGTGCCGCCCCAGGGCCCTCAAAGATGGTGGACCAGTCGACCAGCTCAGTCATCCCACGGGCGACGCGACGGTCATGCCGTCGCACGTGCGATCAACTACAAGTTTTGATGGCACTGGCACCCCATGATGTCTGCAACCACTAAACTTGGGAAATGGTGCCATCAGCTCCTTCCTAAAAAAAACAAACAGCACGCACACACATACTGATGTCGGTCGCCGGGCCTTGTGTTGAGGCTGAGACCAAGGCTCCTCCCACGATGTTCAACTTCTCCATCCAACCTGATGTTCAGGCGCATCTGGGGGCTCCATGAAGTGCAAAGCATGTAGGAAGAAAACACCTCGAAGCCGGTGGTTCTTAAGTATGAGCTTAAGGCGAGAACAAGATTGTTAAACATCATCAAACAACACATGTTTGGTTGAAAGGAATCAAGCATGAACACCCAGCAAAAGTAAACTGAACAGTCTCCCGTGAAAGCGCTTGCCTCGCGTAAAGCGTGGACATCAGGGCCTGTTTCATAGAGCAAAACCAGGGACAAGATTGCCGCAAACAGGGTTTTCGGGGCAAATCGCTTCATCTCCCGATTCCACAGGCTGCCGTGGATGGTGGAATTGGGGGACGTCAACCCCAGTGCTCGGAATCCAAACGTCATGGAGCCCTTCTGGCTTAGCTTTCCAACGCAAGTTTGGCAGATCCACATGGAGTCCAACACATCATCCACATGGAGTCTCAGTTCGTACCTCTGAGTACGCCTCCGAAACACTGTGACGTGGCATGACATAGTTCCGTTAGGAAGTTCATGTTTAGAAAAGCCAACAGGGGGTGAACTCCAATTCCATGTGATGTGTTAGTTGGAGTGCACTTGCTGTCGATCTAGGGTCATGTCCTCTTTTCTAGGCTACGACCTGGAGACAAAAAGACATGGAACATGATCCGGTCGGCAGAGATGGACCAACCCAGCCAGGTGATGATCCATTCATGATTGAGAGATCCGAACTGTGAAAACGGGTTGGTTTGGTGGTGGATTTGTTCGTGTCGATCCGTGCTGAAAAAGAAGCAGTCAACCTGGTTGAAAAGCAAACCTCTTGGGGTTTCCTTTGCCCCACGCAGTGGTCCAAAACAGCCTGCAGTTGCTCCAGAACAGTCCTCCTCCGGAGCTTTCTCAGGTTCATCATATCGCCCATGGTTTTCTGAAGAACTCAAGGGAGCAAACACGGCCAGTAAACAATTCAGGCAGGACAAGAACGAATAGTAATAGACATAGTGACATAGACTAATAGAGTATCAGCTGTCATGTACCAGCCTACTGTACAATGGTAGACTGCCAAACCCCAAACCAAATATGCAAGCAAAAGGCTTCGATAATCCTTCAGGCCAAAGATCTCTGGCAAATAGCCCTCATTCCTGAGATAAGGGGGTATGATCTGACTGGTTGGAACCCGGTCAAAAGACAAAATAAAGAACTTAAGAACTTCATACCATACCTTATATAATTACTTACACGGCTTGCCACCTCCTGTGAAGAACAAGTGTAACACTAAGAACATGTCTCCTTGCTGTTGTCTGCAGCCATGTGTGGGCAGGTGGGTAAGGGGCAAAACGGGGCACTATTGAAGACGAACTCGTAAGCAAGTTTAGGGCTTAGCGCGTAGTAGATGGGCTTAGGGCTTTCCATCTCATTATTTTAGTAAATGTTGTTGAGTCAGACTCCCAAGTGAAATGCTGGGGGTAATCATCTTTGGAGCAAGCCCCTGAACCGCGGCGCAGTGTCTCCACCAAAGGAAAGCCCTCCTCAAAAATGTGAAAGTGAGCATCGAAGATCATGCGCTGTGCAGGCCGCACCGCTCGCACCAAGCAGCTGCGCAACATGGAGTCGATGCCACGGCGACAGCGGCGGTGCTGCTGCTGTGCTACTGATATTGCTGCTTGGACATCGTCCAGCATGACATGCAGAGTGTTTAGCAAAGATCTGCGCCACACTTGGCACCAAGAACATGCATGGTCCGCCGAAGCTTTGAGGCCTTTTGAAAAAATGCATTGGCATCATCGCACCAGCTTGATCCTGTCCCTCCTCCCCACCTGCACCCGCCTCCCCCTCCTCACACCGGAGCCGGCGCTCCTGGAAGTGATGCACCTCCACAGGGTTCCGCGCCGACAGCACCTGCACGGTGTCCTCGACCTTGGCGACCTCGCACCGGCTCATCCGATGGCCACGGGGCGGTTCCGAGACCCAGTTGGGTGGGTTAGGTGGGCCTCACCTGGTGTTGTTCCCCTTCCAACCCGTCAAGCCATGAGATCACCCGCTGGTTGGTGGAAAACTGCCCAATAGACGTGGGTGATACGTGTCTTTGGTGAGTTGGTCCAGGTTGGCACACCGGAGATCCTTTGGATACTCCTTTGGGTCCCTCACCTCCTGGTGGTCAAACAGCAGCTTTGGATATGTCGCCCTCATGGTGGAACAAACCTCCGGGACCTTCCCACCACATCTTTAGACGTCTTCCCTGGTTTTCCATTGGGCACACCCACCTGAAGAGGTGGCGCCACCCCCCCAAGTCACTTGCTGTCTCTCTCCGGTGAGAGGGCAAGCCCTCCGAGAGGTCATCAACACTGGCGATTGGAGCCCTTCAAGGCCGTTCGAGAGGCGTTTCTGTCCTTGTCCGGAACACCCAGAAGACAACCCCGTGAAACCGTCTCCTACAATCATCCTGAAGGTCTTGCCCTATCATCCTAAAGGTCCGGCCCTTCCACCACTCTGTGGGGACCCACTTCCAATTCCATTGCAGTGGTATAATTTCATCCTTTTTGCAAAGTGTCTCAAAGCTCCCTTAGATCCACCCTGGGACAATCATTGCGATCGCCTCGATTTCGGATGACCATTCTTCACCGGTGGTGATGTTCCACGCAACCGTGGATCACCCTATAGGCCTCCAAGTACCTTCTGGAGGGTCTAAACACCTTCTGAGGAGGTACTTGGAGGTGTAGGATCAGGGAGTGTCTCGCCTACGGGAGGAGGGCGCTTGGAATCCACCTCTGCACCATCTCATGTGCTCGGGCTCCCGGGCACGTCGGGTGTTCTCCCGCACGGAGATGAAAATCTCCTCCGCCCAGGTCCGTTGCCGTGGGAAATGAGCGAAAAGACCAGACAAGACGCTACCAGCACTGCAAAGGTCGGTGGGGGCAGTAGGCTTTCCCAAATCATGACCAACAAATGACAAAAAACAAATAAATTGTAGCTTAAACCATGATAGACCAACAATCTTCATGTTGAAGCTATTAATTGGACTGTTTTATCAGTTCCACTTCCAATAGAACATGTTCCACGACTCTTCCACCTGAAAACAGCTCACCCCACTCCGAATACTCCGCATACAGCTGTTGCATGGAGCGAAGCTTTTGGATGTCGCCCATCAAACGTTGCAGCTCCTGCGTTGCAGAGCTGAACTGCTTCGGCGTCGTCGGAGCAGCACATCCATTGCTTCCAGGGCCCGGATCATGGATAGCCCTTAAACTCTAAGGGGCGATTGTTAGACGGCCTCTGGGTTAAAGGGATGAGAGTTCTGTTTGGAACGTGACCGGGGTGGTTCATGATTGACCACACCTGCCTGGTTTAGAAGGTCTCCCGCGCAGCCCGGTATCCCGCAGTCTAAGATCTACTGAGGGTATATCATCATGGTATTATCTCGGTGTGTATATATATATATATACCCATTACCAGTAACAGTAACAGCTCTGGTTCCTCTCACAGACCGATGCAGGGTCTTGTGCCCGCATCCGTGCGCTGTGCACTGGTCTCTTTACTAGTCACAGTGGATGACGATGGTTAGTAAAGGCCTTTGGACACACCCTATAGATCGCAATCCCGCAGAACCTACTGTAGAAAGAACACCACCCGCCACATTCAGGAGAGATACACCCTGAAAAAATTAACATGGAACCTGAAAACCACTGGGTTGTAAAGAAAAAAGTCTTCCAAAGTTTCCAAAGTTCCAATTCAGGTTCCATGTGGGTCTCTTCCAGGGTGCACCCGCCAGATGAATTCGCTCGTCCGTCGGATGTGGCTGTTGGGTTCGCCGGCTTCCGGGTCCGGCACAGATGCTCATACTCAAACTTCTCCCCAGTTGATCGGCCGGTGGCTGGTGCCAATTCCCAGCTGTCACCTTCATTGCGCATGGAGGTTTGCCTCCGAACCGGAACTGCCCGTGATGTGGGTCTCCTTGTCGTGCTGCTTGATGGCATCCTGGTGCCCGGTGCCGGGAGAAAGGCATTGCTCGAAGGCTGAAACAGAAAAACCACCGGAGAAGATGTGAACCAAAAGCAAGGTGAAACTGTAGATGAAGCTGACTGATGACCATGTATACCGTATACCCTTGGTTGTTGTGGGCGGAGGGCATGCTAGTCTTCTTGCGAATGAGCTTAAAGGCAGGTGTACGAGCACCATCAATCAAGCAAAGTTGGAACTGGCTCTGCCACTGGTCAGTTCAGCCTTTGACGACCATGGTTTATTAAGAAAATACGTATGTCTGTAGGCTGGTACAGGTAGAACATCCGATAACATCCGTATCATTGGGGAAGGAGCCTCCAGGCTGCCCCCAGGTTTGACCGGTCCTCGTTGGTTTTCACCTCCGGCAGGAACTGGCTCAACTTGGCCTCGAAGCCTTTGGCGTGCCTCACACAAATACTGGCCATGCTGAGGTGGAGATGTTTTGTTTGACTCTTGCATTGTGTTCATCAGGCCTCGCTGGGGCCTGCTGGTGGTCACCAAGAGGGCCAGGTCCGAACTTAGGAGCCGTTATATCCTCAAAGTCCACCCTTGTCGCGCTCCAGTGTGGCAGGACGCCCCGATTCTATACAGGGCGCAGTGTCCATGTCTTCCATTCGAACGACCACATGATCAAAAAATGACCGAAAAGCTCTGTGTGAAGGCATGTGGAGAGAACCGGCTAAGAGGGAAAGCCACGGGCAACTCCAAACTAATCCAAACGCGTCTTTCAAGAAAACCAGTGCCCCCTCAAGGCGCTCCAGGGCCTACACCAGACCCTACCACCCACCTTCCAGGTACAATTGCCTCAAAATCCAAGCTCCGAGCCAACGAAACTAGGATCCTTTTCACGGTAGATGATGATGGCTGGCAAATCCCTGGACCAGTACGGTCTAGTGGCTCTGATGCATGCCTGCATCAGACCTGGCTTCAATCTTCGGGGGCAACACGGACCAATGATACAGGCGAGACACCCCCAAAGTTTGCAGTTCAGGAGGTGAGCTACTCGCCCTCCAACGATCATGGAAGTGGGCAATGCCCTTTTGGATAATCATATTCCTTTACAAAGGGGGGTGTTCTCCATTTTGATGATTGTTTGAGGCATGAGCTAGGGTGTGGACCCCAATAACCACACAACAAGCTTGGAGTCGGTGTTCTTCAGTTCTTCCCCAAGTCTTGACCCTCCAATGATCCATTTCAGACGTCCAAGTAGCCAAGACGCACCAAACTAGCCAGACACACGAAACGGCCAAGGAACTGTGAGAGGCAAGCAAACTTCTCGTCATCCTCTGCCTGGTTTTCACCACACCACGCCAGCTCGCGCCCCCAAGACGACCGCGGACCAGGCCGGGTCGATCGGATCACCAGAGCGCCCAGCTCCATCCCGGTCCGGGGTCGGGATCGGATCCAACGTACGGGGTAAAGAACCAACCACTTGGTCCATAACAACCACAAGACCCGAGATGACCCGAGATGACCTGATCCTGTCTGCTAGTGGATGCCATACCATGTGGTCAAGATGGTCAATGCCCGTGGACTCAGCAGTTGTGCTAGGGTGAAACCAGCCTCTAACTCCCCTGTGACGCAATGGCCTGCCGAGCGGAGACTCTCATCCGGACTTGCTTGATCGCGTCGCCGTTCTTACAGCAGTTCTCATCCAATTGGCCTTGCACGTGGGGCCAAGACTAGTCGGACGGTTTAAGACTCACGATGCGACACAAGTCCACAAAGGGGTGCCGAACTGGGAGGCCCAGGTGACCATGAGTCCACTGGATTGGAAACCACTCCTCTAAAAACTGCTGGTTATTTCTAAATCCAATTGAGTGTATACAAACCTAGGGAGCCTCCCAGGCAACGAGCCCCTGGAAGAAGGAAAATCGACCATGTCATTCTTTGGTTGCAAGGAAAAATACACGCCCATTCTTGGTCCGGAGGCTTTGACTTTCTCGAAATAACCTCAGAATGGGAACCCTCTCCGGGGATCGCCGTGGGTTGGTGAGGAAACCTGCACTCACAGCAGCTCCGACCTGGAAACACCGAGGCCCGGGTGATGCTGTGGACGAGGGACTGATCGTCTCCAATTGAGTGGTTTGCTCGCCGCGCAGGTCTTTGCAAAAGGTGTGCAAGTAGTTGAGCCTGCGCCAGAGAGTGAAACCCAAGAAAAACAGGTCGGAAGGGCCAAATACGACGAGATTCTTTAGCGCTCAGCAGTCGGAAAACTGTCGATTAAAAAACTGAGTCTTTACGATGCGCAAATGTGCGATGATTTGAGTACACCTGGATCTTCAAACAGCACGAACTCCATCTTGAGCCGTTTTTGTTGGTGAACGCATGTGCTCAGAATCGGAAGGGGAACGACACCGGTGGAACAAAAACACACACATGTGCCGATGTCTATTTGGTGTTCGTTGGTTTCCGCCCTTCTTTGGGAAAACACGCCGTAACAGCATTGTTTCCTGAAAAGGCATGCCGTTTGGAAGATCCAGGTATTTTCGGGAGAAACCAGCAAAGCGGGCAACTGCTGCAAAGCTACAGCATGCTACAGCCAAAAAGGTTGATTGGTAGACACCAAAAAAACTGCCAATACCAATACCTGCTAACGAGAGGAACTCAAAGTATTTGTATGCTGCACCATTGGATGGCAACCACCGGGAACACCAGTCAGCCGCTAGTTGGCTGAAGCGTTCACAACGTACAGTAGAAACAGTGCCAGCAGGAAAGAAGAACAGCAGGTTCACTCGAGGTCTCCTGTGTCACCTGCAAATCCCGTGCAATTGTGATAGGGTGCTGCGGCCGACAAATAAATTTGCGACCTCCAACCTGGAAGCGATGGCCTCCAACCTAGAAGCGATGGCTGATAGGGTGTTCTAAATGTGCTTCATCATTCAGAGGGTTCCATGATGCCCCATGTTTTTGGTGTTCCTAACGACCATGCACCCTCCTGACTCCTGACCCTCCGATTTCCACACGACTGAGCGCTACGACTCCCCGCCTACTCTCCACCACGGTGCTCACATGCTTCTCCACCTCTGACAGGCCTTGTGAACGAACATCTTCAAAAGAAAGGCTTCGGAAGATTCAACTGCCGGAAGTGGCGTTGCAAAACCTATCCGGTCCAAGTGGTTCTGGACATACAAGGGCACCCAAGAGTGACTGACAGTTCGTGAGTTTTCTTTTGCCAGATTTCCATCCCAACATACGCAACTGGCCAAGCAAAGGCTTGCAGCATGCGTTCCTCTCTACGTGTATATGTGAAGTCCATCTGAGTTCCTGGCGCTGAAGACTAGAGTTACAGCCATTCACGTGTTTGGCAAAGGCATTTGCCTTCTACCATGTACTTCCGGTCAAGTTCGGCCTCCAGCATGATACAAAGGCCCAGACCCTAGCAGCTCTAGCGTTCCGCGTGCCGTCCACATCTCCACGGTGGGGAGGAAACCGTTTCGATCATTCGTTGAACCAGTGAAGCACTTTGTGTGGATCGGATTCACCCCCAGCAACGCTGAGAACATCGAATTTAACCCCACCTTCCTTGAATCGAAGTCAACCAAAAATCACCTTTCGAAACAAGAAAAACAGTGTGGCATCGGCCATGTCAGGGAACAACCTCTCCGAACCTCTCCGTTCACAAGTCCAACCCAGCTTTCCCAGCTTCCGGCCATCCCGCCCGCACCCTCGTGGAGGCGTTGGAGCTGTGCCATCACGCCGTCCTGACCGCCCATCAATGCCTCGGCGGAAGAGGCCAACACACATGGCCAACATGGCCAACTCCAGGCAAGTACTAGTACTGAGCAGCCAGGCAACGGGGAGTCGAACAAAAAACATTGTGAATTGGAAAACAAAGGAACTCGAAGAACACAAACACTTCGTGCATATATACATATCTAGTCTTACATATATATAACAATAAATATATATGTATACACATACTCTTGCAATCATCCTTTGAAGAGTTATTGTAGCCAAACAAACACTCAATTAGGCAAAAGGTGGGGAGCAAATGGGAGCAGCTCACGTTCGACGGAGCCAGGAGGCAAAATCCATTGTTTTCAGCTGCCAACATTACCACAGCAAGTTCAGGGAGTAAATAGAGCTAAGTAATTGTACACAATCTTCACAAGGTTAGTGAGTAGATTCAAAGGTTAGTGAGTAGGTCATGATCACTTGCACGATGTCAAAAGCAGTTGTCTTTGATGTAATCAGAAGTGACCTGGGTCTGCCTGTCAAAAAAGAACTCTGCTTTCGAACTAGCCAGGACTGCAAACTTCAGAAAGACCTGACTTTGCGTCCTACTAGTCGTCGGGCATGACACAACAGCGTAAGAATGCGAGGATTCGAGGATGTGTATCATCACCCTCCCGTCCCTCCCTTCCCCTCAAGAAGGAGCAATAATGAGCAATAACACCAGGCTTAAATGGCCTCCAGCCTGATAGGACCTATTAGGGATGGCCTCCAACCTAATAGCAATATATAATGCCGGTGACATTTTGAAGGCTTAAGTGGCCTCCAACCTAATAGGGATGGCCTCCAACCTGGTAGCAATGCCGTCTCTAAGTGACTCTTTCGAGGCTTACGTGGCCTCAATCTAGGATCTCTCCTTCTTGGTCACTTTGAAGAACCAGGTGCCGTCACCAGGGTCACCCAGGTGCCGTCACCACGAGCAGAAAAAATAACGCATTCTGCTCGGCCTCGATCTGCTCGGAGGTGCGCAGCAAACGACCATCCTCAGGCGTTCTTCGAACCAAAACACCATGGATGGGTGATTTTGTGATGCTTGGAGGGTCCATGTGCGGTCGGAGGTGCATATGTCATAATCTTATTCCATAATTCCATGCATCATGAATAGTATTGAATTGTGTTCCTTTTGTTCGGCTTCACATGCCTTGTCTCCCAAGCGGTGGGGAACTCTTACTTGGGAACACCATGAACACCAAGCACTTCGGTGTGTTTCTTTTCAGAGGCCCAGTGGATGATGATGGTTTAGTTGCAGGCCTTTCCATATTTTACCCCTTTACCGCCTGTTACACGCAAGTTGCCGGTATATCATATAAGTTCTCTGTTTCCCCAAGCCCTCCCTGCATAAGCAAGTAAAACCAAAAGCACGCCCACAAAAATAAACAAGAGCTACTGCAAGAGCTGCACATTTGGGGGCTGAACTGGCACACCTCCCGTCCAAAACCACCGGAACGTCTCCCGCCGTTTCCAAGCGACCGCTTCCATCAAATGGCCTTTGAGCTCCTGAGGGATGGGGAAGGAGGGACGTTTCCACCCCAAGGGCTTTGGAGGGGTCCAAACTCTGCGGTGAGCAGGGAGGTTGAAGGGTTTTGGAGGGTCCAACCCCCCTGCGGTGAGCAGGGAGGGTCTAAGACGATCCTGCAACAAGTCAATTCGGAGCTCTGCAACGAGCGCTTGGAGTCGAACCGCACTCCCGCTCCTCATGATCTGCGGCTAACTTCTCGTGCTTTGGGACGATTGCCCTCACCTCCGTGGCTTTGTGGGGTGTGGGCGGGTTTGAAGTCTCGAGCCTTCTGAAAGCGCAACTATCAAGACTATCCCTTGGAGCTTTCGCACGCTTGCGAAGGGTCTTCTGGTGCTTCCGGTTGGTCGGAGCGAGAGCAAGATTTGCCCACTTGAAAAGTGGAAGGCACCCGCTTTTGCATAAATTGGATTGAATACATGGAGCACGTGATATCGACATGAACCATGCACATAAATAGTGTGAAGTATAATTTATACTTTTATTGCTACACCTTTATATATAGTAAACGGAAACATCGCACGCACCCTCAAGCCCTTCAATGTGGTCTGTACGCGCATGCAGGTGGAAAATTGCCCTTAGAAGGCAATTTTCCTCGACAAACCGGTGGTTGTCCACTTCATTCCACTTCCATGATTGTTCCAGCGAGGGTGCTGTAACTTGACCATGCGAGACGCGCTTTCTTCGTCTGGGCCAACCACAACGATTCTGTTCAATGCACTTAACTTATCTTAACTTTGTTATGCAAAGCCTGGGTCATAGTAGTTCTGTTCCATGCAGGCATGCGGCATGTGGCCTTTTGGACAGCTTTCCTCCCTAGCATGCATAGGAATTGCATCGATCTATATATAACTATATATATACATACAAAGAGATATACATATTATTTAAAAAGAACAACACATGAATCATCCTGCATACAAAACACAATAATAATCATCATACTACAAGCCTTGGGGCTGGGTTCCTTGAGTGACTCCACATACCCTCTGAGAGGCTGCTCTTGCGGCCTTTAGGAGGGTCTGTATATGTCTTGCCTTCGTTCGACCCGTGCACCCGTAGATCAACCGACTGACTCCGACTGACCCAAAAAACGATCCCGGCACGACGACCTGTCGATCCTTCGACGACCTGTGCACCTCCAAACGCACTTCTTCGATCTTCTGTGCGAGAGCCACATCCGCCTGTTCCTAGGACCGGCGGACCGGCTTCCCGTTCCTCCAAAGGGGGTTTCAAGAAAAGACCGCCATGGTGAGAATTCCTTTTGCTTATGGTGAAGAATGCCGGACCTTCAGAATTTACTGTCCGAATCTCCAACCAATAAATTCAGTGATCTTAAAGTTCTGCTTCAACGACTCGACAGGTCAGCGAGACCGAGGACGTCCAACGGTCCAACTGCTGCGTCGTCCGACGGTCGGTGCTGCGTCGAAAGATCCAATGGCGGCACGGTGGTGGCCAACTGCGCAATCTTCTCACGGTTCTGAACCACCTTGAAGGGAGTCGATTGCGTGGAGGTAGGAGACAGGAGGCAGGAGAAAGCAAAAGTCATCTAAAGTCTGAAAAAGCTTCGAAATCCACATCCAAAGCCCCATCTAGTTGGAGGGTGAGGGTCTTATTGCTGATAGAGCACTCTAAGAGAGGGTCCGAGCAGTAGTAGTAGTAGTAGTGGTAGTGGTAGTAATAGTAGTAGTAGTCATCGTCGTCGTGGTGGCGGCGGTGGCGGTGGTGGTAGTGCTAGCAACTGTGCTAACAGTAGAAAATCGTTGTGTGGTAGTGCCAGTGGTAGTGATAGTGGTGATAGCGGTAGTAGTAGTAGCAGCAGCAGCAGTTGCATGTAGTAGCCTCCACTTGGCCGCCTTCCTTCCCACCCCAAAAAACCTGACTGGTGCGGCTCGCAGGTCATGAGGGTGGCTGGATCCAATAGAATCTCCATTGGGGGCGAAACTTCCCTTATTCCCTACTTTCGTCGCACCAGTCAGAAACTCAAGACGCACCCATCGCACTCGGCCCACCTCTTGGGCCACCGGAGGAATCTGCACAGCGAGCTGCTGTAGCTCCTCTTGAAGGGTTTGCAGCTGCTCGCTGAAAGGCCTTGGTACAGCGAAGCGATTGGATGTGAGCTCTGAGGTCTTGATTGTCCAGGGGGTTGGGGATCAAGAAATGGCTAGAATTCGTCACGTAGACGTTTGATTGTAAAACCACCCAATTGGATTCTGAAACCTCATCATGTCGTGTATTTAGGTGACCAACAGTCTAGTGCTAACAACGGCCATTCCCATGAGGGGTGCGAAACATGGCCACCGAAAACTCGCTTCTTCTCCGAAGCAGAAAAAACATCGTCTCTGTGGGCTGACGCCAAGTGGCTGCAAGATCGTCATGAGATGCGCATGCACAAACTCCTGGCCCGCTGGCATGCATATCTCAGCGAAACATCCGGTGGAGACAAACAATGGAATCGGACGGGTCCCAAGCAATCCATTTCTTGTATGTTTGCTCACATGTTACGGTGGTTTGGGGTCAATGTAGCTATAGTTTCCATACAAATGAGTGGGTTGTTGGGGGGATGGATAGATGTCCAAGGAAATAGCATTTGTATACATTTGTCCATTGATTTATATCGTTGTCACGGTCCACAACTCGAGCAAGCTGAATGATCTTCTGGACATACTTGTGATTAACATCACTTGCATCTGAGAAGAGCAGTACACATCAACGGTATATATGCGGCATATCGCATATCTGTGTGTAAGCATTTGTCGGGCTCCGGTGGATCGACCCTGCTGTCGGTATTGACACCCCTGCAATCCTTAAAATGTAACTATCAACCGGATAATTCCCATGTTTGACGGGTTCAAACACTACCAAAGGCCTCCTGTGAGGTACAGGAACCAACAACAGGAACGCGTGCCAGCTTATCGCAGCAAACCTGCTCAACCTGAAACCTCTGAAGCCATGTATACTCAAGAGCAGTACTCAAATGATACTCAAAAGACCATTGACTTGCCATGAAATGCCACTGCAATGGCTTCAAGAAACTAGATGCCACTAGACTCGTAGACCCAGTATGTATCGAATCATGGGCAGCTCAAGGGATTCCCTTGAAGTACGTGAGCTGAATACATGGTCTACATGCGCCTATGCATGACACAAACCTATGAAACAGCCATCTGACGTTAACTAGTGTCATCTGTTCCTTCAAAATAATCGGCCAAACATACAAACCTTGGACAACCACCCCCCTTTCCGGTTTACGTTCAACGGCATGGAATTCAACGTCCTTGAGGTAGAACAAGGGCAAAACCCCAAAACAACACTTTGACTATGACACTCCATGACACAACGTAACAAAATGCTGACTGTCAGCATAATAAGACCAACAAAAACGGTCCTATGTTGTGTTGATTCTACTTGAAGACAGCCTCGGTGGTTTGTAACCTACATCCCAGGAACACCCCTGGCCACACGTCTCCTGCATGAGGACCTCATGCTCCTGGCCGGGCAGCGGGAGCGGTGACGTACGCGAGCTCGGACAGCCAGTGGTCCACTGTGGCACCTCACCATCTCCGTCCAAAAGTCGGTCCCTTCGACGATCTCCAAAGGATATGACCCGTTAGGGCGACTTATGGCGACTTCTCCTCAGGTTCGGTGGGCTCCAACCCCCCTGGCACCCACCCCTGGCCCACCGAACCGAAACGGAGGTAGGCCAGGAGCCCTAGGGTGAAGTCATTCCACTCGACTCGGGTCAGTCTTCATGGTGGTGTTCTCTGCCGTACCGTCGGTGGGTGGAAGGCGGCTGTGCGGGTGTTCGCTCTGATCCTCAAGTCATATGCCAAGTCGATTTGAATGACATGAGCTCATGGGTTTTCGAAGATCTCTTCGGTCATCCGAGATGTCTCATAATATGCCAAGTGGAGCCATGCCAGGTGACCGTGACCTCGTGACGCCCCCAAACGGATGACTCCGACGCGTTCCTCATGGCCGTCGTGTCCGTCTCTCCGGTCCTCGAGGCGTCCCACGGACTTCACGAAGCCGGTTGGCTCCGTGGGGCTCCGCCTGGCGGAGCGGGTGCGGAACCCGGTCCGGTGAAGGCGGTGGGTTTCTTGAGACCATGGTGTTTTTACTGCATGGATTTGCTACAGACCTGTCATGAACAACGTCGTGTGTTGTAAGAGGACAGTCCAACCGCTTGGGAATATGTGGAAATTGGATGGAATTGGCAGTTGGGATCTCACCATGAAGAGTGAACCTAGATGTGGGCGAGCAGGTTGTGTAGAAGTCTTAGCAGACTTAGGTGATCAACAGGCTGATGGGCTACAAGACCCAAAAGACATCTGTTGGAGAGTGCTCGTGGGACTCGACTCATGGTGGTGGTCTGAACCAAAGAGAAAAATGACGTTTAATCAACTTTGGTGGTGTGGCACCATGACCTTGGAAGAGAGTGAGTTTCGGACCTTCATTGGTTTGCGGACGGAGTTTGGAGATGAGGGCCATTTTGTTGTCCCTGTTTTCCTGACCCGTTCGGAAGCTGTATTTACCATACAGTCGACTTGCGGATTTTGCAGCCATGGTCATCGTGGACCCCCCGTTCACAAAAGACGGCGGTCATTCAGGGATGGCTATGCCGCATCTTTCATTTGTCCACCTCCTCTCTTGCAAGTTTGCTGTGACTCATGTCACTTGGTCTTGTTGTTTCTTGCTGTGCACCCCGACGGGTGCTATGCGGGGACGATCCAGTGCAGCGTTGCTGGCTGGGTCACTGTAAGGTGCTGAACTCCCCTATGACACCTGCGTCCAGGTTGACATGCACAGTACAGGTCGAGGGGGCTGTGCATGCTGTGCCTTTGGTTCCTGGCATGAATCTGCTTGTTTGGTACCTGTTTTGGTAGTTGGTATTTGCTCTTCTGGCGTGCGTCTGGAGTGATGGACTCTGTTTTTGGTTTGTTGTGTTCTCGGTGAAGCGATGGAGTTTGACGTGTGTGCACTTTCATTCTCACCCTCTCTTCTTCAGCCTTTCTCAGCTTGCCTGCATTTCATTCAGCATGGCAAATCAAACATTGATTTCCATGTCTGGGTGGTGACTTTATTCATCAGTCAGTCTATTTAATGATTAACTTATAAGCTACATCGGTTTTCAGTCTGCAGGAGGGACCCGCCTCACCTCGGCCGCTCCCGTCGTCTCGTCTCCGCGGCCGTTTCGCGCGCAACGCACGTCGCGTGAGTTTCACACCTGGGCGATTGAACAAACTCCCTCGGCTTCGCTCCCTCCATGGCGAGGCGTGTTCCGGGGCGCCCCGGTTCGCCGCGAGGCTCGTGGCTCGAGGCAACGGCCAACGGTCAACGGCCAAGGATTGGAGATAGGATGAAATCCACCGAAAAGGCCAACAAAAGCAAACATCGCAGGGGGGGGGTTCAACGTGTTTTCACTCCGATTTTTCAACGTTCATGGTGTTTCGAGTCCGAAACCTGTGTTGAACGGTGCCCTTGACCGGCTCGGATCGGAGGGGCACCGTGGAGGTGGAGACAGTGGAGGAGCGGACCCACGGCGGACCGGACGTCTGATCCAGAACCTGATCTTTTGACCTTCTCAAGTATTGTTTGTTTGTATGAGTCCAGTAAAAGGAGGTCTTTCACTTGTAGGAGACGGTAAATTGACACTCCAAATTGATCGAGTTGCTGGCAATATCTGGTACCCAGATTGTTTGGCCTCACAGGCGTGTCGGGTCCCGGGTCCCGGGTCTTTTGGGGCCCTGGTACGTTCCCCACCGCAAATGCTCCTATGTTGGGTCAATCCTATTATATACCAGGGCCCAGTGGATGATGATGGTTACTGAAGGGCTTCTTCAACCAAAAGTGAGACTTTGTCGGTAAATGGGACAAACCCAACTGCTATGCATGAAACGCTTCCAAACACGCCCGGTTTGTTCAATGTCCAAGTGCTGGGCCAAAGAATTTGGACTTGGTGGAAGGATCACATGTGTGTGTATAACCTAGGGAGACCTTTGAAAAAACCCCTGAAAGAAGTGACATAGACTAAGATTCATTAATTGTTGTGCCACTGGGGTCACCCTATTAGAACACATCATCACACCTGCTTGAAGCCCAGTGGTTCTGGCAAACATGGGCATGCTTTGGAGCCGCTGTGTCCATGCATGCATGCATGCATGCATGCATGCATGCATGCATGAAACTTATGTTCTTATTATATGCACTCCCTGGAATAATCATGGAAGTTGAACATCCACTGTTTGTAGAGGAAAATGGTCATCCAAGGGGCCATGCCATCCACGTGGCCATGATGATTCCAGGGAGTGTATCAACTTTGCACCTCAAACCTTCTCATTCCAAAAGGCTATCTAGTTGACCAAACAACTTTAGCCGCAACGCCTCTTGTGGAGCTGGGAAGACTGACTTTATCTTTCTTTCAGCCACCCAGCCACCCTTGGCTGCCAATATTCTCCAAAATGTTGATCACCTCGGTGGGTCTGACGGCAATTGTCTACCTCCAATTGCAGGTGCAACCCGGCTGTAACATAGGGTCATCCCTTCCGGCTGAGGTTGTCAAAAGAAGCCTGTCATAGTCATAGTTGTGCCCTCAAGTCCTCAAATCACGGGAATACCACCATTAAACCATTATTGAATGAAGTCAACGCTCTGTGCTTCTTAGCCTCCTCCGTTGTGGGCTGTCAAAACATTGATGGCAAGGCAGTTCCAGCTTCCAAAGGATCCAGTCGTTCATTGCTAAGTTCACCCTGCTTAACAAAATCACACCAGGTAGTGGGCAGCACCAGCAGCACTGGTCAACAGTGAACTTCCCCTGCTTTAATGTCCGCTTGCGTGCTCCACTTCTGCTGTTATCCTTCCAAACCTCCCATAATCTTGACTGTTGATGAATCAACCACATGCCCCTGTCAGAATGGTTACACCATGTACTTTCACATCTCCACATGGCAATTTTGATTAATCAACCATCTACAGACATCAGTAGGCCACCCCCATCTCTGCAACTCCCTCTGGCCTTCATCTGGCCTGGCAACATCAACATCCAAGCCAATCATATCAGGTAACATGCATGAGATCTGGAATTACTGCTTTCTGCGCAAAGAAGGGTCCCAAACATCTTAGAGTCCACTGTTTCAGTGGACAGCAGTCCCTCCTCCTCAAAGCATTCTTTGACTCAACTGTAAATCCCGAATTCTGTGACCCTACCAGAGTCCCATTCCTACCAGAGTCCCATTGACTCGGATCCCGGCAACGCCCTCATGCCCTCTTGGCAGCTAAAGGGGCACCCTTCAGTGCCACACTGAGATGCCTCCGTTGAGACCGCCAATTTCCCGGCGTTGCCTCCCCAATTGGTTTCTTGGAATCGACGGGTCTCCAAACTCCGAGACCGACAAAGGCGGCGCCATCCTCCCACACCCAGGATAGAAGGGTTCTTCAGGCCTTAGGGACCTTGAAAGGGGTTGAACATGTACTATAAACATACACCATAAGGCTCCAGTCGTACCTCCTCAGAAGGTACAAATGTACCCTCTAAACCCACCCCAGTCCCACCTTCTTAGAAAGTACGTGGAGCCCTATCAAGCCCCTATAGGAACCGAAAAGGTCCTTGTGAAAGTGCGTGACCATCTTACAACCTTTGAGTCCACTACACCTGGCACTAGACGAGGGCACATCTGCACTTCACTGCTGAGCTCGCTCACTGGGTGATGGTGATGGCACCTGTGAAAGAAAACAACCAAAGCAGCTGAGAAACTGCAACCAGGTTGCTGCCGTGAGTGGGTCACCCACAGACAACCCTGCACTATATACTTAGATATAGATACTTATGGATCTGAATCTGATGTGTCTCCATCGGAAGCACTAGGACAGTTCTCGTTTTTTTTTTAAATGTTGTTTCACCCCAAATTCACCCCGGCACCTGGATTCGAGCTCGTCCGCCCACATCTGCAGCGCCTGGAACACATCAGGTGGGTTGAGCATCCCAACAACTCATTGGAGTTTCCCAGGTGGTGGGCTTTGGGGAACACTTGGAGGGTCTTTGGACCTAGAATGATGCAACAATTGACTTCATGGCAAACACTAGGGCAAAAAACACGGCGATGTCAACAAAAACAGTGTTTGCGTAAAAATCTAGTAGCACGACGTTGCCTGACGCCTTTATTTCGCTTGACACCCGCTCACCTGCAATGTCGGACGCGATAAACGCTCGCCGATCTCACCGTCCTTTTCCGGCCTGTCTTAGGCAATGCAGCACGGACTCCATGCATGTGTCGTCCATAAAGTTGTGGGACACAGCGATGCCTAGGTCTCCAGTCTGAGGCGCTTGGCAGTTTGGATCTGTTCACCCTGTTCGCCCAGATGCTCCGGATAGGTTGACCTCCAAGTCACGTAGTCATTCGTTGTGGACCATCATGGTTTTGGGGCTTTTTCACCCCAAGGCCACAACCAAGATGAGACCATGAGACCGACGCGTCATCTGTCCGCAGCCAGGACATCCCTTCAGGTCCGAGGCTACTTAAAACGACGGATCGAAGCAGAAGCGATGGCAACTCCTGGGATCGAGTTCACAAGATAATTACCTGGGTTCCCCTAAAGGATGGTTAATGGACACTCCTTAAGCCTTAACCTCTAAGGGGCCATCATTAGACATCCTCAGGGGGCCCTGGTATTAGCTGCATAGCCACGCCATTGGACAAGGATCCACTGCCAAAACCGCTGGGCAATGAAAAGCACATGGAACTTGTTGACCAACCAACTAATGTCAAGTTACATCACATTCTCATGTTCAGACCTATGGCTTCGTGGCACCCCGACAACGCCTTGAGCACAGCACACTCTGGCTAGCAGTCGGCTCTGCAGACTTATCGGCCCAGATTGCGCAGCATATAGCCATGTTCAACCAACGGCTGCGTTGAATAAGACACCCCTTCTACCCCCTTTCTCCAACCAACGATGCATGGAAACCGTGCAGCTGCATGTGGATGACCCTTCCTCTACACGTGAGGTCGTCCTCTACACGTTCTTGTGAAAACCACTCGTTCGTTGAGGATTGGACATGTCTGTCTTCCTTCGGCGCCCCATGACCAACACTACTTCATGTCCGTTTCGTATCCTTTAAAGACCTGGCCGGTGGGCCAACTACCCGAATGGAATGATCATGTGAAACCAGAAACAACCACACCAACCTTTACCAAGAGACGTGGAACATGTTGTTCGAGCAAAAAACACCCACCATGCCCCACCTGTGCCGCTGGAAAACCCTCTCCGTCCAGCAGGTCAGCAAGTCGGTCAACCTCTCTGGCTGCTGTCCAAGCATCTCACCTCCTGCGCCACATTCTTCACTGCATGCCTTGGAAGGACACACACCCAGCAGGCCTCTTTCTGCATGTGACTCGTCTCCATCCCATCGCCGAACCCATCGCAATCGCGCCGGAAGACGCGAATTCCCCCAGCGGTTTTTGGTGCGAACCAGTGGCAGGGTACCTGCGGGAATGAAGATCAGCTCGCCCGCAGAAAGCAATCCACCCCAAGCCTGACAGCAGTGCTGACAGTAATGATTCGGTCGATAGCTGATTTTGTGATTCACCCTTCAGGACTCATGTATAAGTCCTGCATCACATGAAATCACATGTAGAGACCTGTATATAGATAGTCGAATCCATCCATCTCAAGCTCTCTATGCGCAAAAGAATGTGCAACATGTCTTCTCCTTCAACGCTAACATATCATAAATGTATCGAACAAACTCCGAGCAGGGTCGCATCTTTCGAGCTGTTACCGCTTTGCATGAACGACCGAACAGTGCCTTATCCACTCGTCCACATGCTACAGAAACCCTGCCCCAAAACACTTTCAGCATACACAAACTGACCTAGATTCAATCAATCAATCTGTCATCTTCCCTGCATGCTCGACTGCGTCATTGGTCGCCCTGTTCTCAGGATGCCCCTGTTCGAAGAAACATGGAAGACATGCGGACACGTGCGGACACGTGCTCCTGAAATCCTCATGGAAGTGGACAATGACCTCTTGCATGACCATGCTCCTCAACAAAAAACAGGTGATGTTGTTCCACTTCCATGAAGATTTGCGGGCAATCTATGCAGCCTGAGGATGCAAATGGATTGCTACTCATCTGGCATGCTTCGTGGCCATCGCACTCCCCCGCACGGAGCTCGCTCCGCGCACGTTCGCTCCGCGCTCCACGGAGGCGCCTCGTGAGTCGCACCGGAAAGCCATCCAGCCTCCGCTGAGCTGAGAAGCAAAAGCTCCAAGTGGCAGATGTGTATATATATATACATACCCAAACACTCCATGGGACTGCCATATATGCCTACATTGACCCCCAAAACCACCCCAACTGATTGGCATATATATGGCATACATGGAGTGTCTGGGTATATATATATATACCTAGCGCTTCCAGTCGGGGCGCCCTGTCTGGAGACCTGTTTATGTAGTGTGGAGATATCCAGCCAGGTGACCCCGAACGGAAGCAGCTGGTATATATCCCCAAATAGAGAGTGGCAAGGTTTCCAATACATTTTAGGGGGGATCCAAATGCTTTTCTATCTATTATTTGGGGGTCTGCACAAAGCAAAATAAGATTGTATAAGTACCAAAGTCTTTGATGCCGCATCCAAGTCACCTCCACATTCGTGGATGAAATAGTTGTGAGGTTTCCTACTCATCTCATCCCCCAACGTGGCTCTCAAAGTTTGACACGTCGCTAGGATGCAGCGATGATGCAGGGTCACAACCAAAATGACGTTACATCCCCTAAGGCCGCTGCCTAATCAGACATAATCAGACTACGTAAAGTCCACACACACATGAACCGGGACGACGCGTGATTATCATGTCCCGTATGTGTTCGTCTTTCATTGAATCATTCTTTCTTTTGATCTATAGATGCCTAATCCAGGAGCCACAAAAAGCGGGTGGCGACACCACTTGCCCAGGGGCAACACCGAAAGGTGCCCCAGGGATATGTTTGCAAACAGCTGTTGCCATTCCACTTGGAAAAAGCACCCTCCAACCTGACAAACACCAGTGATACCTCTTGCGAGATGATACCAGATTAAGAATCATTAAGATGCTCGGGACTGCTGCCAGGATTCTTCCATTGAAAGGGGTAGGGGGGGCATCTTTTTCAATGTGATATTTACAATAAGATACTTAAGTAAGAAATTCTATGAAATTCTCATCACCAAACCCAAATCTTTGGCAGTAGTTGCAGTGGGCTGACTATGAAAATCAATATATACTTGCACCGGACCTCGCTCAAGCATTGAACCTGTGACCCTTGCAAATGAGTCACACACACACAGAAAGACAACATATATTATCATCAAATCCTTGCTCGTGGCATCGTCATTGGTCACAAGCAAGAAACTTTGCAGATCGTTTGAGGCCTCCGAAATAGCAGCACTGGCACTCAATCATTCCACCCAGAATGGGCACCACTGCGTCCGTATCAACAGGGCACTCACTTGCCCTGCAAGTGGCGAGAGGTCGCTTGTTCATCCTCCGTTCTCTCCTGCCAGTCTCGGCCGTGTAGTCGACATTCGTTGGAGAAGCGTCACTGTCAGCCATGCATCGCCGCATCGCAAAAAATAAAAGCACTCTGAGTCCGACATCTTGTCCCATATACCAACCACTACGTTCAGGCTCAGGGTCCATGTTAGTTGTCAGCGAAGATTTCCAGCCCCTTAGGGCTCCAGCCGTACCTTCGTTTCGGTTGGACTGGGGTGGGTGGGCAAGGAGGGTAATTGCACATGATTTCGGAGGTTCCGACTGGAGCCCTAAACAGCTCCAAACATCTCCTCTACCTGCCGCTGAGCGTCCAGTCGCTCGCAGCCGGTGGTGGAGAACAGGTCCTGCCGCGCCAAAGGCGGAGAGCACGGGGTCTGCTGTGGAATTCAATAGATCTTCTAAGATAGGCACTCCTTGTTTTTGGCAAAGGGAACCGCATAAAACCTCCATTCCTTACATAGTTTTTACAAACAAAAACTAACCTATCTGCTATAGGCTAGGTTATATGCGTTCCGTGAGAATAGCAGGAGACTAGGCGCATCCACACGGTCACAAAGCTGGCACGCGTTCGAATGCTCCTCCGGCACTCCAGCGGGCACCGCTTCGCATCCGTGCGGGGTCTCGGCCTATAGGCGGCTGACGAAACGTCTGGAAACTAAAAGTGAAGCATGGTGAACCAAGCTTGGGTCTATTCTCTAATCATTTCCTGGGCCGAGTGGATGATGGTTCAGTCGCAGGCCTTGTTTTTCAAAAATAGTAATACTTGTTTACTGGCTGTTACAGGTAATAGGACAGATCCAAGGCGAACCTAACTTTTCAATCGAACTCTTACACCTAACCTGTCACCTTGAATTCATCTTGAGTGGGGTGGCGCTTCAGCGGCTTCCCCATTCCTCCCGGACATCCACTTCTGCTGCCTGGGAAGACCTTGCTCCATGCTCGGACCTTCTTGGTGACCTTCTTGGTGACCCAAAGTGGCCGTACCAAATGGATTCCAAGGGATCAATCTAAAGAAACAGGTGGATTGCTCCATGACGTGCCCAGGTTGATGGAAGTCCAAACTCCTAACCCCCAAGCTGACCTCTTGGCGGAACCAACGAGGCATGGAACCAAGGCAAGGTATCAACGAGTCGCTTTGATGGCTTCACCCATATCTCTCCAACGGTGCTTTGGAGGACTCTTCTATGGAGTGCAAGTCCTTGACGTGCGCTTTGGTTCATCTGCTCACAGGAGATCAATTCCATCTGCTCAGCAAATCCGCAACTCCAAAGAAATAGAGTTAGACGTCTGAGCCTCAGAATCATCAATCAAATTAAGAGCGTTGCAAATCTACTGAGCACACATATGCGAGTCGTAGTAGTATAGAGTATAGAGCAGCTATATGGCTATATGGAACCATGGCCCAACCATGGCCCAACCACTGATTGGACCTCTAGTGGCAGTTCTTTCAGCCAGCGCTTGTGGCGGACGTGGACGCACCACTTAGCATGGGTGCAAGACCGGGGACCTTCCAAAAAAGGTGCCTCCACCACACCCCTTTCGTATGCTGGGCATGAGGAGTATGCAGTATGCAAAGTAGAATTTTTCACATGAGAAACATGGTCGGTTTTCCTCCACCCAGGATTCTGGGCTTCATCCAGGATTCTCTGGTGCACCAAGGAGCTTGGGAACATCGGGAACATCCACCTCAACAACCCAAATCACCAGATCCCCCACAGCCCCCGCACCTGCCAGCGCAGCAGGCGCCAAAGTTTTTGACCCTTGGTCAGCCACATCCAGCCGTGGCTGCCAATCCTGGGAAGAGTTCGTCCGGGAGAAGTGTCTGAATAAGCATAGCCAAGCTGGCTAGCTGGTGCTGGCAACAGCTATGCTACCTGATCAAAATGAGAAGGGCCAAGAGATGCGAAGATTGGTTTCTGCATCTGATGCCCCTCCTAACATGCATTCATATCATGAATTATGGGTCACGGCAGCCGCACAGTAGATGCACAGGGCGCAAAAGTCTAGGATTAAATTAGGCACCCCCCCGAGCCGAATTTCGATCTTCATGCGCAAACCAGACTCCAGTCATTAAGAGCAAACTGCAGTAATTATAGCAGTATATATCATTGGGGCACTGGGGCAACTGCGCACCATGTTTGCCTCCTTTTGACCTCCTTTTGAGTATACCTCATATAGCTCATTCCATCCCTCCCGCCGTCTTCCACCTATCTTCGACCTGGCGCCGAGGGACGGATCGAGGTGGGCACAGGTGCCCGAGCCTGGCTCACCGATGTAGATCCAACGGAGGCTGCGGCACAGCTCCTTGGAGTCGGGCTTCCTTCCTTCCCCAGGCGGGGTGACTGGATTGGCGTTATAGTACTACTACCAGCACCCGACTCCACAGGTCGACACCGGCCGAACAAGCCTCCATGTTGGAGACCTGTTGGAAGGTGCTGGTATATGGGAGTACTTCTGTGAGTGTGACAGGCGTTCTTTTTGGGGGATGCGTGATGAATGGCAGGTGGCGAGAGTCAGTTGGTAAACTATACTGGAGATTCATGTTCAATTTGTTTGTGGACTTGGTAGTTTGCCTGTTTAGTCTCGAAACGCAAGCTTTCTACTGCAAACTCCTGGAAGACCTAAATCTCCGAAAGCCACTATAGAAATTACAAACATTTAACGGCGCATGAGAAACTGTATTATCGAACAAGCTACCAACTTGACCCACAAAATTCACACCAAAAAAAAACACACAATCCATATAAAAACCCGCACATCCAGAAAAGTGGTAGAGCAGTGTTTCAAGCGAAGGAGTCCAAGAAAACCACTGAAAAAGCAGAAACCACAAGATTTCTTGCAGAGTGAACGCCTGGGTTACGTATACAAGCAATTACAATTATATATACAATGAAGCTATCGTAAATTCTACCTATTTATAAGAATGAATCTTGAACACCCAAATAACAGTCTAGCAAAGGCTATGTAAAATGTGTTCAAATGGATCAGCTCTTTCATTCTATATAAGTGCTACAGTGATGGATGAAATCCTGAACAATACCCAAGTAGAGTGGATACTGTGGAGTTCCATGTCTCAACATCCACTGCCGTTCTCCCCATTCCCTTTCACCAACGTCACCTTAAAAAGAGACGTTTATTGATATTGATTGATATTGAATATTGCACTGCAGGTCAAGAACCTCCTGGCCCGCAAACCAACCAAACACCTGCTGGTCTAACGTCAAGCACCAGGTTCAAAGAAAGCAAAAAGGATCCAAGAGGCCCATCAAGGATAGGCGGATCCATCCAGTGCGTGGATCATGCGCAAAGGCAACACTCGTACCATGGACCCATGACCGGACTGCCTTTCGCTCGGACTTCGGTCTGGAAAGTCAAGGTGAACCTTCCATCTGTTTGTTTTGAGGGGTTCCCCCAATCCGCCCCCCACCAAAAAAAAAACTACTCAAGCTTTTGCTGTATTTTATTATGATTGAAGATGATTTAAGGCTGTTCTCGGAGGTGATCCACCTTAGGGCCTTAGGGGTCTTTCCGCTGTTTGGAACCTGCTCACGACACATATCAGAAAAATCATCACTCCAGCAGTCACAAAGGGGTGCTTAATGGAGGTTAGGGGTGCCCAGCTACTCCACTCACTTGGAGACTAAACGCCACCCCGACATGTGACTCCTGGCTCATTTCATAGCTGCTCAGCTTCATGCTCCGATCCCAATTGGCTTTTCAGGACGCAGTCAGCAAAGGGCACCTCACCCGGGAACCGGCGAGTCCCGGCGAGCAGACCGGCGTCCCGGCCGGGTCGTTGGCGCCAAAACCAGCCGTGGGAGACACGGGCAATTGGCTTTGGAACCTCTTCATTGGGTCTATCCTTTTACCGGTAACAGTGCGATGATGGTTACTGAAGGCTTTGTTCTGATAAAATATGTGATAGTTGTTTAACAGGCAATCAAACACAATCTCTTCAAGCTAAACAAGGTGGCCGGGAAGAGACTGTGGGCAATCCATTCCACTAGAACCTCTACTTCAGGCAGGGCTAGAGAGCCTTCCATCAAAAAAGAGGTTCCCTTAAACAAAAAAGGAATACAAAACACATTGAAACACAACCTTTTTTTCACCACCGAACGGTGTTCGGTAGGAACATGGGTCACACACGTTTTGGGCCACGTGCCAGGGTCGCGTGCGGCGGCATTTTCTTCCTGTGGGGGTTGGAGGTTCCATTGTTAGATGAAGGAACCTCCCAAATAAGTGCAACTGAGCGAACCTGCCATGCGCCATTTCGGACGATGTTTGAAACATTCAACAGTGGTGGAGCCCTGTGAAAACAGTCGTCACTGAGCTTCAAGTCCAATCTACAGTGATGAAACCAGTAATTAGATGCCACAAACCCCTTTTTGGATGACTTCTATAGGTGGAGATCTTTCGTCTATCACGTGTCCTAGGCCCAGTGGATGATGATGGTTAGGTTGCAGGCCTTGTTCAAGAATGGTGATAATGGTTTGCCATCCATCCATCCATCCATCCATCCATCCATTCATCCCTCTCAGAGGGGTCTAAACACATCTTGTCTTCCTCCCTGCCGTTCCACCGAACCCACCTCCTGTAGCTCAGCCGTGAGCCCCTCCTGGGCCGGCAGCCCGCAGTCGTCCGCATCATACCTGGGTCGGTCATACCGTCTCGTATGGACCGGTCATGCAACGCCCGAGGATGTTCGGAAAACACCCGTGTTTTCCGAGGTTTTGTCAGGAAGAACACTCAGAACTATGGCGGAGATATGAGATATATGTGTTTTTTTTCAGGAGTGCTGAGAGCGAACATGAACAAAAAGGGATATGTTGGGACTCGGGACTATCTTTCTCTCTCTCTCTCTCTCTTTCTCCATCGCCCTCTCCATGAATCCCCATACCTGACGTTAAAGATTGTGAATGTGAAAGTCATGTCTGGGCCGAAGCTCGTAGATTCTCAGGACAGCGGACATCTCTTGAACTGTCTTGAGGGACGGCCACCCCACCTGCATCTGCAGCTGCATCTGGCGCATTGACGTCAAATACCGAAGAGATCCGAGATCCGGTCGGTAGGTCCCCCTCTTCACGGGAGAACTTCACCAAACTCGACTCCAACGAACATGGATGCCTGGATGGCACCTGGACCCGGTCTTCGGCACCGTCATCCAACATCCGGGACCCGGAAACATCGTCAAACCATCGGGCCGATGCCCAAACCATGGATGGTTTGTCCGGGAGTCGCCTTGCGAAGCTCCGTCCAAACGGGATCAAAGTAAGAATGCGACACAGTGAAACACATCACAACGAATTACACCTGGATCTGAATTGAAAGGGCTGACATGTTGAAGAGTTAGAAGATCAAAGAAGATCCAAATAATAACACGGGGACTCGTCCCAAGGTTTATCTATGGGATCATCCCTCCCTCTCCTTGAGCGCCAGCTAGCCATGATTTTTTCATGGTGGCCCAAGAATCGCCAGATGAGGAACTTCCAGGCCACAAAAACACAGAAACCTCATCTGACCACATTGCTGTCCCAACTGCCACGGAAACCTGTGTCTAGGTCAATCGGGTTCTACCAGGTTTCAATTTCTTAAGCGACACTTCAATGCAAACAGACTCGCCTGGACTTTAGGATAGGAACACTTGATCTCGTTAGAGGTTCCCAGCATCAGCAGGTTGATTGATTAGTGGACCTTGCAAGCATGCAGCCTTACAAACATGCCCCGCTGTTCAAAAACAAACCAACAAAAACGGATCAATCCTTCCAAAGAAAAGGGATTCTGATTGATCCAATCTTCAAGGCAACAACACATGATTCATGGACGTCCCCCAACCTCAACCCCCCCCAACCTTCACACCACCGCTGGCACCGCAACCAACGACGGGAGGCTCCCATGCGCCCACGTACAAGGCCAAACCATCATCGGACAAAGGCCCCAGCTCCTCGCGCCTGGCGAGACTTTCAAGTCGCAAGTGCTGAGAGTGGGAGCGGTGCTGGTGCTGGACCATTGTGGTGTAAAAGAATGAGCCATTTAGAAGGCCAACTTTGCAATGTATATTGCTTTGATTTGCATTGGATAGGCATTATTACAGTATATCTTATTATAAGGTCCAAGATCCTAAGAGACCAACCCTCCCTATATCAGGCTAGACCCGTCAACCGTCAGACTCTTTGCCCAAACACTCCGAAGTAAGTGACACGACAAGGTTGGGGAGAGCTTTCATGATGTCGCGTGATGTTTCATGCTCATGTCCCCTCGTTTTCAGTCCGAGACATTGTTTACAGGGAAGCTATATATGACAGAAACTGGTTGGTTGGCTTGCCTGCTGTGACAAAATTGTAGCTTCTGTGAGCCATGCTTTCTAGCTAGTGTCAACTGCAGTTCTATAGTGTATGAATATGAAGCTCATACTAGGCAGGGAATGGTAGGCGGAGCTCCAGGACTTCCATTCATTGGGATCTGCAAATCTGCGACACTTTTAAAGAGCTTCGCAAATGGCAGGCATCCAAGGATTTGCCTGAGATCAATGCGGAAATCCTCGCTGAGTTCAGCAGACCACAGCTAAAACTCAAGCAAAGTAAAACTGTGGCTTCCTACGACGATGGAGGCTAGCGAGAGGCTAGCGATACAAAACACCCAAACGGGGGGGACATGCAATTGGTCAGTTCTAGACTTTGGGGCATGACCCACCAGCAGAGTTAAACACCCCTTTCTCCCCGATATGCTTGGGGTGAGTAAATCCACCAAGTTCCAAACTCTTGAATCTTTTTCAGTAATTATCTTGTGAAAACATCTATCTTGTGGAAGCAGGTTCCTTGTCTGGAGCATCACTGTGTCGACTTCTCTGATTTCCCGAAAGCACGGGTTCTGCACCGTGCACCCGGAAAAACGCGACAGATGTTCAGGCAGTTGTCAATACAACATTCATCATACGTTACAATATGGCATGCGTATGCAACCATGAAGTTATGTTTATCATATGTCACCTGGGCCCTGAAAAGATGATTGCTCCATCTCGCTGGAAAACACAAACATGCCCCAAACACTTAGCAACAAAAACCATGCTGGTGAGTTACCAAGATCGACACCCCAAGCTGCAGTTGGTCGTAGCACATCGCTTCACCTCTTTTTCGTGGCCGCCCTGGGAGCGATCCGCCCGCCGCGGTGATGGGTCGTTGGTCCCAAGTAAGAGGTCGGGTGTGACCCTGGCAGGCGGTCCAGTCTGAGTTAAAGCTGGTCCGTCAAATAGACCGAACATGGACGGGTGTTTTTGTATGACTATAATCGAGAAGGGATCTGACAGTCAGATGGGGAAAGAAACACATCGCGCTGACCTTGGCGCACTGCTTCACTTTCGATCGGCAGTGCGGGCAGGATACATACTGAAGCCTACTCGTCCGACGGTCACAAGATTGACAAGCCATAAGCCGAGTGGGGCGCGAGAGCCACAAGCCGTGGGGTGCATTGGGCGGGATAGAGTTCCAGGCTCGGTTCGCTGATTATTTAGAGCTTGGCTGTCCATCACCTTTCTACACACACACATATATATATATAGATCATAAATATAACTCTCGCTATATATAGTATCATACACAGTTATACACAGCATACTACATCTATAATCAGTAATTATGATGAATTACTTTCATCTTCGAAAAGTGCGCTGCTTGACCTTCGGTTGGGATTGCTGGTTGCTCTTTTCACTCTTTCTGCTTATACGGGCTGTATACATGTTCAAGCAACGACCAGCTAATAAGGGGCCCCCAAATCTGCGACCAATCTCATGGCAAACAGGTGGGTCAGGTCAGGTCAAGTGCAGGTCAGGTCTTTTGCTTCAGAAATCATCTACCAAAAGCAAGTCTTACAATCCATGACATCTGGGCCACCACGATCTATAAGACCAAAAAGGCATGTTGTTCATGTGGCACATGAGCGAAAGCAACAAGACCCTGAAAAGGCCCTTGTCTGGCTATGGAACTCCCTGGCTGCCCTGAACACCTGGAAAGATGGACAGCCACCCCTTGCAATTCGGGGAAGAATGGCACAAGCAACGTTTGGAGGCTGAAGGAGCTTGATCCACTGGTGTATATATATATATACAAACAGTAAAACTAACTATATACATTACAGTATTACTATTATTATCTATGGTTCTTACTGGTAGCATCGGGTAGCCAACGGGGGGTTGGGCATCTTGCAGGAAGAATGGTAACATCTGGTAACATGAAACTCTGAGACTGAAACATTTCAACATATACCAACAAAACCTCCAAACTTGATTCTCACTGCTTCTAACATCCGTTGTGGCTCGCCTTTTGGGCAGCATGAAGCCGTGCCTTTTCTAGCCCTTAGCACTTCTACAGTGGTTGCTTTCCCACTCACCGCCCAATGTTTCGTTCGGTGTTCTCGTTCGGCCCAGGCCGCCCAATGGTTGGGGGTTTTCGGGTCGGCGTTTTCAGAGTCATCTTTGAGTTCCCAACCCTTTGTTTTCTTGTTGGAACCGAGGTTTTCAGGCTTGATGTGCAAGCTAGAGTCTAAGAGGGATAATTCTGGTTATGTACCATTAGTTATCATTAGTTATCAACCATGAAACCATGTGATTAACCATTAGGCCCTGTCTCAACACCAACTCATTCTCTGTCTGAATGATCTGTCGGATCTCGCTGCCCCACGGCGACGTGTTCCGGCACTGCGTGTGTTCCGGATCTCGCCGCTCAGTCAAAGCACTCAGCCTCAAGGCACCAAAGTGAGGACATCGCTAAACCTGGAAAAAATGGTTCACCAGGAAAACCACCACTTCCCATAGGAACTCTACCAGGAAACCCACCGAAACACCGAAAAAGAGCCACCTGGTATCCTCCAAAATGGTTCAGTATCCAGGCCAGTGCCAACTGGACATGGAAAAAGACACCTCCCCTGGACGCCCCCGAAAGTCCAATTGGTCGGTTTGGAGTTTTCATGACCAGAAGGCGACGAGTACGTCGCTGCAACTAGCTGGGCCTGCATACAGTGGAAGGGTTTGCTCTCCCGAAGAATGCTGCTGGGCCTGTAGGCTAAATTCAAGCTCTTCCCATCTCTTCCCCTTTTCTGAGGTAAAATCATTGCAGTAAGTTCCGGGGTCTTTTCAGTATACACCACATGGGTCTGATTCCAAACCACTTGATCAAAACCCTTGTGGTTTGAGATTTCTTGGTGAGAAAAGGGCTACACAGTTACTCATGTCATCGCATTCATGTGGCAGTGGTCTCAGGAAGTAGATGGCACAATCCCCAAGTCTGGTGGTTTATATGGATCCCATCTGTCTAGGACATCATGGGGTCTGTGCCATCTACTCTGAAACCACTGTATGTGGGCTGTCTTTAGGCGCTGGGGGAAGGTAACTGGTGGGGGTCATCACGACTTGGAAGGAAAAATCCAGGCATCCGGCATCCGACTTGGATTCAAGGTGATCCTGCATTTGGGAGTTAGCCCGCCAAAATTTTTGCGTAACCCACCAGGGGACCAGGAAGATGTCCAAATGATTGGAGTGGAGGCAGGACGAAACAAACATCCTCGCCGCCTCTATTGAACAATGCCTTGAAAGCTGCCGTGGTGTATTGGGGGGGCCCTTGAGAGGAGCTCATCACTGCTGTGAGCTTGTTTGGTCAGCCGCTCGGCTTGGTTCCATGAGAAAACACAAAGCCGAGAAGGGGCCTATGTCACAGATTGCCTGTGAACTTCCTACGTTACTAGGCACAAACAAGGCAATACATACGCAAACTTGCAAACCGGAGTGGTCCAGAAAAGCCCGCCGAGCTGCTCGCCTTCCTGCTCGAGCTGCAGTGGTTCTCACTGGTAGTTGTTGCAGTGGTTTCAGAGGCTCGATGGCACACCCCCGAAACATGTCCTTTATACATGGCACTGGCACCCCAAGATGTCCCAGACAAATGGGGCTCCATATAAACAACCTTTGGGGGATTGTGCCATCTACTCTACGTAACACCTTTGACCAGCGCCCTGTGTCCTACGCCTTGTTCCAATATGACTTGCTTGACATTCTTTACATGAAAAAGAGTTGTTCCAATGTGACTTGCTTGAGATCCTTTACACAACAATAATGGTTGTTCCAATATGGCTTGATTGCAATAAATCCTGTACATAACAATAGTAACAATGGCTAAGCCACTATGGCTTGCTTGAGATCCTTTTTACATAGCAATACTGCTTGTTGCACTATGGTTTGCTTGAGATGCTTTACATAACAATAGCGGTTGTTCCCCTCCCAGCGGAACTCCAAGCCAAGGGGCTGTCATGATCGTCATGGCTGTCATGATCGTCATAGCTACTGTTCTTCGTCTCGAGCGAATCCCGTTCAGGAGGCTCAAAAGCGCTCATGTCCGTTTTCGGACCTCAGTACCCGCAAGGCACGAGGACATCCGAAACGACCCCCTGTTCAAGCATCTTGTCGCTAAACATGTCCAGGCAATGCATTGCTCGGTCTGTTTGTGGGGTCCAGCAGGTCACTACTGCAGTGGACAGGCGCCCTAAGCCAAAAAATAGAGCACCTTTCCAACAAAGCGCAACAGCTTATTATAGAGAAAAACTGTGATTTCATGGTGCAACTTCCAATACTTTTAAAAATATATAGAGCTATGTACTAGACCCTTTAATCCTTTAAATGACTGTTGCAGTTAATTGGTAACACACTATACATGACCCTTCCATGTAAGTTGCTGGCTCCACATTGAGGGCTCAAAACAAAAAATCCGCACGCCGATTTGTGTCGAAAATGAGCAGCATCTGGATCAGCATCGTCATGCAAGCTGCAAAGTCCTGGCGACCATGAGATAAAAACAACAATGAATTTGTGCAAAAGATTGACAAGTCTGTCCCCTTAATAGCGATGGCCCCCAACCTAGTAGCGATGGCCTCCAACCTAGAAGCAATGCAAAATAGCAATCGCCTCCAA